TCCAACCACCAAGTTTCATAACGGGTGCATGGGCAGAATAACTTTTTGTACTTGCACTATGTCATGATGTTGATGTAGTGACATTGATATTAAATGGAAATCACTCTTATCCCATTCTTAATCTGGATATTTGGCCCTACACGCAGCTTTCAAAAGGTTCAATTTAAGACCATTATGAAATGCAAAGACCATTTTTTCACAGCAGCCCAATTTGTCATGAGTAGTAGGGTAAACACAGGTGTTACAAATGATATTAATTAAGGTTTTGTTAAGTTTGAAGGATATAAAGAAAAATTGGTATTGGTTCCATGTAAGTGTGTGTGTTTTGTAGTTGTTACAGCATGATTAATACAAATTTCCCCCAAACCACATTTAAAAGCAAGACTGAAAAAAATAAAGTAACTTTAACTTCATTAATCCAATTTTAAGACTTGTCCAAATCATATTTAAGACATTTTAAGGCCTAAAATTCTGATTATTGGATATCAGTCTTTGTAAAAACCCTGTTTACAACTGACTTACTGCGTCTTTTTCTGGGTTGCAGACTTTCACCCACAGAATGTGATCTAACAGCCAGTCGATGGGTTTGTCTCTATGGAACATCAGGAAGAACTCCGTAATCATCGGGAGGTCACGCGTCCGAAACAACTTGCCTGGAGGATCACAGGCAACATGCATGCATCTTATTGTCAGTATACACAAAACATGTGGATTAAACCACATTAAACGCTTTAACGCTTTTTACACACACCTATAAATCCAAGCTGGGAGAACTCCAGGAAGAGCCACTCCTTGGATGCTTCCTGGGTGGTGAAGGTCTTCATGGCATTGTAGTAGTCTGCCTTTGCAACAATATCATCCTCTAACTGGAAAACAGAAAAACTCAGCTTCAAAAGTCATTTCAATAATTAGCCACTATTTGGTCAAAGCTCCTGGGTAAGTCACTGTCAAGGAGGGGGAGAAAGCTACTGTAGCATAGAGATTGCACAACCACACTTCAATGTATAATACCACACTCCTAATTTCTTTCATGTAAGCTCTAAGTAGCTCTTTTACTTGTGTCTTTACTCTGCACTTGTCAGTCATCGATTGTCAGTAAAGTGTGTGGATGGTGGTGTGACGTCTTCTTCTGCTGTAGTTTGAGGTTGTTTGTTTTGTGTTTGTTTGTCCTGTTTGAACACAGGGGCTACTACAGCATACAAACTGCTGGTGCTGGAAATGTAAAATGTGCCCCCTTTTTTGTCCTCTCTAGATCTAGAACACTGTGTAAAAGCAAATGAGAGTTTTCACGAGGCAACAACAGGGGCTCCTCAGAGTTGCATTGCAGATTAGTGTTTTGTGATTTGTGGTGGTTGTATCATGTGATTTTATTCAATTTTTCAAATCTATCTATACAATTTGGGAAATATATATTTCCCAAACATATCAATAGTTGGAGTTGACCTTTGACCTCCTACCTGAACATAATAGGTTCCTTTATCCTGAGCATAGAGCATGAGGAAGCTGAAGTCCAGGTTCTGCTTTGTTCGCCATCTAAGAACAGACAAGGTGCACACACAAACATTAATTGTTGAGGTCTTTTACTTACTCCACTGCTACAACTGTTGTATTGCAGCCTGAGCTACACACATTTTAAAAAGTCATTCAGTGGACCTATTGTCACCCCTTACATAAATGCATGGTTGCAAGATAAATGTTCTAATTTATTGATTTAGATAAACCTTGCAAACATTATTATTATAATGAGTTGTGTTGACATAAGTAATGTGGAAAAACTTGTTGGAATAAGTTCATTTTTAAGAGTTCCCTAATCAATGTAAAAACTTGTGTTTATTCAACCAATTATTAAGTAAGTGGTAATTAAAGTAGGAAAGCCAATACCACTAAATCAATGTAGTACATTTGTTGAACATAATTTCAGTAGAAGTTGCCATAACTCAAAAAAGACTTTCATTAATTCATTCGTTCATTTTTTACGTTGAGCCAAAACCTTTTTTTTAGAGTGCAGATTCATTCATGCTTTTATATCTCTGAATACAAGTCGTCTCTGGACCATCTACAAATTCTAAGATTTCAAATAAATAGTAACAGAAATGGTGAATGTACTTGACTCTGTCCTTGGAGTCGCCAAAGGTCTCTCGGAGGCTGGTGAAGTCAGGGTAGTAATACTGTGAAGGAGAGACAACCTCCATTAGCCCGGACTGCACCTCCTTGGGAAAACTGCAAAGAAACAGATGCTTACCTACAGTCTTCAGCAGCAAAACACAAACAGTTGAGCAATTGTGACGGTTAACTTTGGTGATGGGTATAAACTAGTGCAAGTAACACAAGGTGAATATTGGCGTGGGAACGCACCATAAGTCTTGCCCCTTTTGGAACCACGGTCAGCTTCCTCCTTTCCTGGACTTAGATAATGCTATGTGCTAGCTTTTCTATGTTAAAAAGACAACCACATTTTTAAGACAATTAAAATAGCGACATAAAAGCAACATATATATAGTCACATCTTAAGTCAGCTAATGTTCGCTAACTATCTAACTAGTGTTTTGCTAACATTAGCTATCATATGTTACTAGCTAGCAAACGATTCATGTAGATAAGCTAGTTAGCCAACATTGCTCTGTAGCAAAATGCTAGCAAACTATCCCGCTAAGTAGCTAGTTAACGATTGATGTAGAATAGCTAGCTAGTTGGCTAGTGTCTTGCTAACATTAGCTAACTATATACATGTTGCTTTTATCTTTCAAACATCCACAAAATGTGGGTGTCCTTTCAACATAGCCTAGCACATAGAGTACCTAAGTCGGGAAGGGTTTCAAAGGGGTTGGGATGTGGCAGCCGCACCCCCCCCCCCCCCCCACTACTGTTTGTTTGGGTCCCTTGATCTTCATATTCTAAATGTGTATTCTTGTTGTACATTTGGTCTACCTTCTACCTTCTTTTGTATTACTTCCCTCTGACTCCGATGTTAATCATGTGAACAACATTTCATGACATGACCCCCCCGTAGCCAGGTGACATTGTTTGAATCTGGCTCAGCCGGATTTGAGGCAACACTTGCATGTGCATGTATGGACTCCAGCCAGGGTTAACATTATTCTTAACTTTTAACATTCAAGGTCAGGTTTCAGGACTTGTACTGTAGCTGTGAGCTTTCTGAGTGTGAATACAATGTGCACACAAGTGACTCCAGTAGTGACGCGGCACAAAAAGAGAGAGAAAAAGACTGTGATTGTAAATTTAAAACAGGAAATTCTTTATTAAAATCTGTACTTGTACTTGTACCCTTATCTAACTTCCTTGTTACAGTTAGTTTGACAATCATTAATGCTCAATGTAATATATTAGATGGCTTTTATTTATGGGTTGTGTAAAGCTGTGTAAACACGCAGATGTTATGGCTGTGACAGCGCTCCAGTGTTTGGTATCTCACGGTTTGTCTCTGTCTCTGTTTGTAGTTGTCTGTTAGTCTGTTGGTGTGGGCCTGGCACCCGGCTGAGCTGCATCCCTCCCAGTCTGCTCAACATCAACCTGCAGTATATCTACCACTCATCAGAGTGCTAGATATGCCTCGGAAAACCTCTCTGAAAATTTGCCTCAGGATCATCGCCTGCTTTCCTGCCTCCCGTTTGTCTGTAGCCACCATAAAGTGGCTAAAGTATAAAGTTCAGTCCACTATTTTTTTATTATTTATTTATTATTCACTGAAAATTGCATATTATTACACTTTTAACAGTTGCCTATGTACACATCCAGCAGACAGAAGAGTCATGTATGGAATCCAATATTCACTCTCCTTTTAACTCTGTTTTGGTCTCCGCCAGCTTTGGAGGAAATATCTGTCTCTTTAGCTGCTAAATGCTCTAGGATGTTCAACAGCTGGTCTCTAATTGTGTCTACAGTAGCAACGATTAGTTGATTAATGGATCAGCTGTCAACTATTATATTATGAATCATTTTGACTTATTTTTTAAAAACAAATGGGAATATTTTCTGGTTTCTTTACAGAGAGTTGAGGACGTCGCCTTGGGCTTTTTTTTTACCATTTTCTGACATTTCATGGATCCAACAACTAATCGATTAGTTGAGAAAATTGCTGACTGATTAATTGATAATAAAAAATAATCATTAGATGCAGCCCTAACTGTATCTGTGTACTGTTTGGTGCAGAGCAGTGCTTTTTCACTGAAAACAGCTGGCTGCTGCTGGAGGCAACTGATGAGAGCTTTGAGACTAGTTTCTGGTGTAAACCAAAACAATGAGTTGAGAGATGCTAAAACGCTGTATAGAGTAGGAGTTCCCTGTGGATTTGTTCACCTTGCACATTACACACAGTCACTAAAATATTGATTAGGGCAGCTTTAAATAATTTGTGTACAACTTTTATCTTCGAAGAAACATTTTTTAACGCATTCACAAACTTTACTGCAAATGTTTTTCAGAGTCACAACTGCAAGCTATTAAATGCTTTTTAATGAAGTAAACACAGAAGCTCAGAATCTTTTAGATATTGATGTAGAAGAAAGAAAAAGGAACAGAAACGCCTTTCTATGTCTACTTTTACAATGTTTTGAAAAAGGTTCACATAAATCTCTTTCTCCATGTCCTGAGTAAAAAAAAAATCCCATATCTTACTACAAATGAAACCCAGTTTAGTGGGTAAGCAAGGTGATGCCCTTCTCAATTGCAGTCTTGCTTTGTGCTGTGGGTAAGATGATAAGATTACATACAGTACAAATCTGCTACTTTAAACTATAACAAATTGAACCAATCTGATTCTTTTTTTTACCTGAACATTCTAAGTTTAAAACTTAAAAGGCATATATATGAGACGCTGGCTGCTGTTGGAAACCACAGGTAACAGAAGGAGACATGAAACAGAGCAACAGTAATATCATAGTGAAACTGCCCCATGGGAGGTAATGTACAGTTACTCACTTCTTCCTGATGGTCTCTGCTATGCTGCCCACATAGTCTGGGTCCGTCTGATGTGACAGCAAGAGAAAAAGGAGGAAGTCAGTGATATAGGGGATTTCTGGTGTGATTAATTAATACCAAACAAGATGTCGTTAAAGTTTTAGCAAAAATGAACAATATGGAGGTATTGTGGTTTGAGACAGCCTCATTGTGCTTGTCCCTCTAAGGACAGACCTTGTATAACCAGTTTCAGATGATGAGAGAATGATATGGCCTGGGTAGTTAATCTGTGCACCAGTTGGACAGGTCTTCTTAAAGGGTAGAAGTGTGTTTAAGTGTGTTTAATCTATATTACATTACATAATACAATAACAGTTTCGTATCCCTATTCCCCAACAAGACGGAAATAAGTTATGATTAGTACAGAAAACAGGTATAAACCCAGCTATCTGACCTGTCAGGTTTGAGTCAGCCATTCCATGCAAGCGCATGAGCATGTGTGCTGTGAGCGTGTGTTTGAGTGAATGAGGGAGGGAGAGAGGGCGAGAGAGAGAGAGAGAAAGCAAATCTTATTTTGCTGAAGCTGAATAAGAAAAGGTGTTGCCTGACTTAATCCTGGTTTCTTTTGTTGTCATTATTTATGAGAGGTAATTTACAGACAATGTTACAGAGAAATTGTGAAGTTATGATATCAACAGCAGAGGAACACCAAACACTGTCGCTCAAAATCCAAAGTCACCGTTGCAGGTGACTGGGCGTGGAGGCGGAAGAAGGCGGGGTTAGTGAGAAAGGAAAAGTGGATTTGAACAATGTATGTTAATCGAAACCGAGAGTGACGGAGACGCGCACAGTGAACTCTAATCTATGTGGATAATACAGAAACGCCTATTAAGTTTTATCTAGCTTATCAGTTGGAAGGTAAACTCAAGAAACTAGGTTTCCGTTAGCAGCTAATGCTAGTGCCAACCGTTGACAATAATATATATATTTATGCCAACGCTAGCTTGCAAGTGTTAGCCTAGCTAACCCAGTACTGGAGCAACAGGAGTTAAACTGTAGTTAGCCTTTGGTCCATTTTAACATAACGTTATATATATAACAGAGCGTGTTGTTTGTGGCACAGGGCCTGCAACGTCCGACCTGGTATAACGAGTAAGGTCGGCGGCAGCCCCTTATTCAGGCTCTGTGTACCGGACTGTCTCTCTCAGCCAGCCAGTTCTCCTGTATTTTAAAGGCGCGTTTATGTCTTAGGGAAACGTTTTTTCTGTATTATTTTGAAATGCAACCCGCCCCCCTCTCTCTGTGTTTGGCCCATTGACAGTGTATAGTGTGGCCCATTGACAGTGTATAGTGTATAGTGTGGCCCATTGACAGTGTATAGT